ACTTACCATTTTATGAAACATGATAGTGAGGTTAATATTTCTACATAAGTGATCCTGGGGACTGTATTTCTTAAATGTTTCTGTATGTCTACTAATCCCATGGTCCCATACCATGTAAGACTTGATGATCTCCCCTCCTCCAAAGGTTTCTTGGCGAAGCAGATAGTCCACCAAAATGCTCACAGAAGAGTGCTTTCTGGGTAGATCAGCAAAGCTCCATGAAATGCCCATGTCAAATTTAATCTGTCTTGTTTCTGTTATGAATGGCTAGAGATGTGTGTGTGTGTGTGTGTGTGAGAGAGAGAGATAGACAGAGACAGAGACATAGAGAGAGAGAACAGGGGGTGAGAATAATGTAACCTGCCAAAGTTCCTCTGGCAAGTGTCAGCTGAGCTTTTCTGAGTGCTTTATTTGCATGTCATTTTAATTCTAACAAAGTGCACCTGTTCTGAAAGTGCAGGCTTTAGAATCAGGACATCATTTGTTCAAATAAGAACCTGTGTTTCTTAGCTCAACCTTCTTGCTAAATTAAATCTCAGAAATTGATTCTTAATTAGCTAACAGAAAAAAAAAGTTGATGGTACTTTTCTTGGCTAAACAGAGCAGCCTTGAAAATGGTAATATTTACTTTCTCATAAATGCTCTTCTTGTCTTAAAATAATCACCACCTTACAAAAGGAAGCTTGGCATAAAAATTGGGAGTAAGCATGAATTTTATCTGAAGCAAAATAGAAATGCTTCAGATAAAATAAAAGCGAAAAGTTTCCATGAATAATCTTGAAGGAATATGTTTATCTCATGGTAGTTTTAAACTGACCATAAAGTTTACCTTAGCAAGTTGTTGATGGCTACAGAATAAGGCCATCTTCCAGTTTGTGTCCCTGTATTCCTAAACCCTTCACCATAAGCATTTTAACCTTCTGCATGGGTGTATCGTAGCTACATCAATAGATTAAGGAATCGAATAAGCCATTCATTAGAAGTTTCTTAAATGCATAAAATACGCATAATTACAAAAGATAAAATTATGTTGAAATGCAAGGATTGAAGTATCAAACATACTCCTGATATGGCAAGGCAAATCTTTTATTATTAATGCTTTAAAATCAGCCCCTTTCTGGGGTCTAATAAATGCCACAATCTCGAAATGATTATTAGAAAAATCACTATTCAAGATGAAGCCATCAAGATTTTTTATCTGATATAAAATATGACATAACAATATTTGTAATTTCTGAGAAACAAAGTCATTTTGAGTACTGCTGATTCCATCACAAGGAAAACTAAAGTCAGCCTTTTCTTACCCATGGTCAAAATACCCTAAGTTCTATGCATAGATTCCTTGGACACATATGGACCTGGACAACACCCATATGGACAGTGATCCACCATTATCCCTGCTTTCATTCAACTTCCAAAAAAGATGCAGTGGGGCAAACATATTTTGCCCTCTGGGTCTTGAAGTAAAAATTCATGGAGTTGTAGCACAGACTGGGCCTAAGCACTGGTGTCTGGAGCTGTGCAGGGGCAAGGTACATGTTATCAGAAACTCTAAAGACATCAGTACTGTCTGTACCATCTTCAGTAGCTACAAAACTAAATACAGACCTTACCCAGAATCCTCTTCTCTCCTGACTTGCAGACTTCTCCCGTTCCACTTCCTTCCGGGATGTGTTTCTCTAGTAAATGTCTAGTGCTGAAGCCCCTCCCCCTTGCCGACCATCTCAAGCATGAAGTGCTTGTCTTCCCCTGCCTTTCATTACCATCTTGTGTGCACACCTTGTCTGTTTCCCTGTGTGGATAAATCCCTACAGGTACAGAGTCCTCAGCTGAGCAGTGAACTTCGCACCCTGTGTGGATAAATCCCTACAGGTACAGAGTCCTCAGCTGATCATTGAACTTCGCAGTCTTGACACAGTGTGTTTCACAATAATCAGAATATTCAGTGTGCATTATCTGCTAAACTGAAGTCACTGCTGCTCAGAGACACGGATTTTTGGGACCGGCCCTATTGACCCTTTCCTGTTATTATACGAGCTTGCTTGCCAGTGTTCACTAACTCCTGATTAGTGATGAGTTAGTGAAATCTACACACATGCTTGCATCTCACCTTGCTGCATACAGTCCCGTGCTCGCGAGCTCCATCTGCACCTTCAGGCCTATATATCAGTATCTTCTCCAGGAAGTCTCCTCTAACCCCAGGTTCAGACCCATGGACGGACGGGTAACTTCTAAGTTTTCATGAAGACCCACAGTTAAAAGAGTGTCCAACTGTACTCCATACTTTCTTATCTTAATCATGAAATTTTAAGTAATTGTAAACAGCTAGCCCCTCGTTTTCATTTTGCACTGGAAGCCACAATTCGAGCAGTCCATGCCACCTAAACCTTCCTTTCCCTTATGACCCGATAGCCCTATATTTTCCCTACCACTGCAGTTATTACTCATAAATTTAATTGCATATTTACTTCTGTTTGTTTACTGTTTGGGGCACCTCAATAAACCTTCAATGGCAAAAACTGGTTAAAAGAACATACCTTGTTTATTGTGATAACCATGTGACTCTACCTACCCCTACTCACTTAATATTTTCTGATGGGATAAATGGATAAAGGGAGTAAAGAAAAGAAGGAAGGAGTGAACTAACTAATGAATGTATGACATCCCTAGCCCCTGGGCAGCCAGAACAATGGGCATGCTTTGCTTGTAGTTTTAAAATAGGTACAGCCAACAATGACAAAATGCTGGCGCAGAAGCTAGCAATCATTAGACAAAAGGAAGTTGCATTAATCAGATTTTTTTTTAATACTGTGACAGAATGCCTACATAAAGGACTTCAAAGGGGAGCTTTATTTTTCCCACAATTTCAAAGTTTTCATTCCACCACAGTGAGGAAAATTATCAATCACAAGTCAGCAAAGATTCTTCTTTAAGGAGCCAGGTAGCAAACATTTGGGTTTGACCTATACCAAATTTTTCTCTGTCCCACCAGCCAGCTGCTAAATAATGACATGGAGAATTCGTATTAATTATGAAAGCTCAACCTATAGCTTAGGCTTGTTCCTAACTGGCCCTTATAACTAAAATCAACCCATTTCTGTTAATCTGCATTCTATCACGTGGCATGACCTCTTTCCCATCTTTCACCTCCTGTTCCCCTCCATGTCTCCTGCATCTCTCACATGCCTAGATTCCTCTTCCTCTTCTTCCTTTCTCTCCATGGAAATCTTGCCCATACCGCCTGCCTAACTATTGGTTGTTCTGCTTTTCATTATACCAATCACAGCAATACATCTTCACACAGTGTACAAATACCCCGCAACACTGGCAGGTCTTTCTGACTGTTATAACTACTTTCTTTTGCGCTTTTAATATGAAAGCCAACAGGAAAGCAGACAAGTGACAATAAAACTTTATTTATAAAAATAATCATTAGTAGTATACCAGAAATACTACCCCTTTACCAAAGATTATGAGGCCATTGAGGAAGAGAGAACAGAAGGATTATAAAAGCTGGACTACCAGAACACCTGTTGCTGGATAGTGTCTTCTAGACCTGACAAACATGCTGTACCCATGAAATCTCAAAAATATGGTTGCCTAAACAAGACCTGAAAAATAACAATGTCAGTCAACACACCAGTGTTTCACAAGACCCACTACAACATGAAAAACAATGGCTGCTGAGGGAGAGGGTATCCATTTTCTCTAGGTGTTAACTCCCTAATGGGTTATTCAATCCTAAGTGATATGCCCCTAATACATATACAAATGATCAGCACTAAATGGATTCAGTGGGTTTTATGTATTTATACATATACATGATATATATCATATACATTTACAGAAGAAAAGGTCATGAATTTGAGAAGAATTTGGATAAACACAAGAAGTGTTAAACGGGAAAAGTGGGCACTGGAAATAATGTAAATACATACTTATATATGGAACTTTAAACAATTTTTTAAAAAATAAGCATTAGGAAGCAGACTTGAATTCAGGTCATAATTAGTCAATGCATGGCCAGGCTATTGGGACACTGTGAGTCTAGCATGGTAAAAGGACTTGTAAATCTTTTGTAATTGGGAAGACTTTATTATAAGAATTTTCTGAACACAAATAATGATGAGATCCAGTCTATAGCACTTCACTCAGGGGTTCTGATTTGTTTTGATAGCTTGCATTTCAATTTCAGCCCTGAGCAGACTTCCCTTTCATTTGAGATTTTCTGTGGGAGCCCTGCCCACATCCATATCCCTGCCTTGATCCTAGAAGTTCCATATTCATAGAAACTTCATTACAGTGACTGATAGAAAAATACTTGCTAATTACTTCTGATCCCTGCCATCAAAATGTGAGTAGACAGAACTTAAGTCCTTTCCTCTGGCTATTTGACTACAAAGGGCTACAGAGCACACAGATGATAGAGAAAACCATCATCTTCTTTTTTCCCTTGTTTTTCCTATCAATATAAAGTAATTACAAATTAGAATACATAAGCACTATCAGACTCTGGCAATGGGTGCTCAGTTTAGCAATAATAGCATGTGATGCCTGATAGTTTACACACTTACCAAACACAAAAGTGTGTTCCACTTCTTAGAAAGCAAGGTGGCTGCAATAGGCATGCCCAGATAGAAGGGCAAGAGTCACTCTTCAAGCTTGTTTAAGTTTCCTCTTAGGAAAGGAGTTGTATGGGAAATTCACAGATTCCTAAGTGTTAACATTTAAATACAGCATCACACAACATACACATCACACAACACACACGTACACACACACTCACAACACACACTCACACACACAACACATACATCCTTGTCTTCATTAATAAAATTGCAAAAGAATCCCATTTATACCAAATATTACACTGCACTCTGGTATTGAAAATGCTCAGTAATTATTTATCTCGCTTCTGTTCAAGTGGTGCTGGTACTTTATTTGTTTTGCCATGATTCTACATGATTCTTAACAACCCTCTCTTTTCTGTTATTTTGCAGTTTTCTCCTTGTATTTGGTTGCTTGATTTTGTCAGTGTTTTCTACTATCCCTGAGCACACAAAATTGGCTTCAAGTTGCCTCTTAATTCTGGTAAGTGAATAATGTATATTTATAAATTTATATGAATGTGCATAAGGTTTATGTGATGTAACAACCATGTGAAATATTTGTGCTATGCATTTTATCTTATATTTTATCCAGAAAGATTGTCACTGCAAAACATAAAACTGTCAAAGACTGTTGAATGTAACAGATAGTTAAACACAAGCAATCCTTGCAGAAATAGTCAGGATTCTATTAGATAACAACATCGTGTCCTGCAGGCACATTGTGATAGGAAGGTAATATTTAAAGGCAGCTTTGATTATGATTGCCTCTGCTAATAAACAATTATAACAGAAATCAGCATGCATGTGATTTCTTATTATTGCTGAAGGCTACAGGGTAGAAAACATTTTCCAATAACTGAATTTAGCAGTAGCTAAGTATAAGAGGCTAAAAACTGTGTGAATGTAGCTCCTCATAGGAAAACAGAAGTCCCTTTATGCTTCTCTCAACTAACAGACTGTATTATGAGCTTGCTGCTAATGCAGTTACCTGGTGAGAAACTGCAGATTTCGCTGTTTCCATTATGCTGTCAGCCCTCAACCACACAGAATTATCTAATTCTCTTAAAGTGGAAAAAAGACCCCAAGATATTTTAGTCTGAGTTATTCTGAACCTCTTAAGCTCTTGTAGTTTCTATTACAAGGAACCCATAGCACTTCATGCTCCAATCACATCTGATTGAAAGTTTGGTTCATTTACATCCATTTCAACCTGGCTCACATAGTCCAAAATTATTAGGCTTGACATTCTCGGAACTGTGTGGATGAGCTGGAACAACTCAATTCTGTAAGGCATGGTGTAGCAGAGGAAGCAGGGGAAATGAGTGAAAATGGTTCTGTGAACTAACGGAGATTGGTTGTGTATAAGAATCATTTAAGATGCAATGACACTGTGTCATAGAGGTGGGAAAGGAAAAAGTTCGACCCCTGTAATATGAAAGGAGGCAGATGCTTTCCTGACCTTTGCTTTCATGCGGATAACTTGTGCTTGATGTTGCTAAGACAGCACCAAGTCCTTACATTAGGAAGGAATCACTTTTGAATCGAGAATGAATCCACTGCAGTCTGCCTCCATACACATAGTGCTCAATGGTATGCTCCTAATGTTATGACTTCAATTTCTAAACCCAAGGGAGAGAACAGAAAAAGGGAAAGGCACTCTGGGAGTTTTCCATTGCACAGTTTCCATTTGGAGAGCAAGTAGGCTTGTAGCTTAGTCCACCCCTCTGCTTATTATGAATGAATTTTGAAGCCTCAGGTCTAATCCTTAGCTGATTTTAGGTCCATACAGAACTGGAAACTATAGCTTAAAAAATATAAATCTGACTTTCAGACCTTGGAATAAAATTAAAAACAAAATATACCTTGAATAACTTCATGAATGAGCATATGTTTAGAATTATCAGCCACTGGGAATCCCATAAAAAAAGGCTTACTTCATAACCAACTAAAGAGTACAAAACTGATGGATTATAGTCTCAAAATCCCTGAACGTAAGTGCCACTATCATTAGTCATGTTCTAAAAAGTATAAAGAAACCCATGGAACCCATATGATTTCAGCTTTTGTAAACCCCAAAATTATTCAAACCTTGACTTTTCAAGCATGTTGTCTCATGAAAAACTGATAATTTTTAGCAACTAGGATATGTTTTAGTAAATAAGGATTTTGGTATTTTAATAATTTTTATGATGTTAAAGGCTGAACTTGGGGCATCAGGAATGCTGGGCAGGTGCTCTACCACTTTCTACACACGGAGCCCTAACCTTGTCAGCCTTGAATGTCTTCAGATTTGACAAACCAAAATAAACAAAGTGCTTCTGCAGGTGAACCTTCATTTTGAGCAATGACCTCACACTGAAGATAAGTATTTCAGAGGAGTACTGCTATATCGTGTTTAGTGAGAAAGAATTTATTAATTGTCTTATTTGCAGGCTATAGCATTATATTTCCAGGGTGTCAGTTTTAAAGCTAAAGTGTATTCTAGAGGCCTGACTAGAAATAAGTAGACTATACTGCAAAGCTAAGATACAGTGCTTTAAAAAAAATCCTTCATTTTAATTTCAAAGAGCAATTTAAATAATGGAGTTTTTGTTTTTATTGGAAATTTATATGTTAAAAGAACATGTATATTTTAATATTTTTCACAATGAATTAATACAGCATGTACCACAGACATTCAATTATAGAATATTAGAAAGCCTGATAACCTTTAATGATTTAGAAAATCTCTTACTATACTATAAAATGTACTTTTGAGATAGTTAATCATATTTCAAAGACTGTTTGACCTATGAACATTCATTCAAATAGTTCAAAGAATTTATTTCTATCTGACTAGGGTTTGTAGATTGGTTGTTTGGCTGGCTGGCTGGCTGGCTGGTTTGTTGGTTGGTGGGTGGGTGGTTGGTTGGTTGGTTGGTTGGTTGGTTGGTTGATTGGCTGGTTGGCTGGCTGGCTGGATGGATGGCTGGCTGCCTAGCTAGCTGGATCAATGATTGGTTGGTTGGTTTTAGCTGCCAATATAGAGAATGCCTAAAATTTTATTATTCAAGTAATAATAGGAAGAACTATTGAAATATAAACAAAAGTTTACAATAAATTATTCATTTTAATCAGTGTCTAGCTGTGTACCTTGAACTGGTTCAAGCTGACTCCTAGTATCTCATATCATAGACCCATGCCACCATGACCAAATAATGTGATTTTGAACCCTTTTGTGTATATATTTGGTGTACAAAAACAATACTAGAGGAATATTTATAATTACATATAAATATTTATGTATTTTGCATATTTTGTCATAACTCTATTTCTTTTAGGTATCCTCAAAAGTAGGCTCATTATGGTAAAGGATTTTTTATAACTCCTGTGAAAATAATAGACACCCATACATCTAGGAAGAATGCACACACGGTTGGCAAACTTGGCCATAAACAAACCTCCTAGAGGAGTCTTGTGTGCTCAGGTTTCCCTCTCCTGGTTTCACTGAGATCACTGTAATGTATATAGATCATTATGTATATATTGTCTTGACCACTGCCTAGGGTCCCGTGAGGATTCCAACTCTTCATCCCATGACCCAAAGAGGACACTGCAACACACCATCCCCAACTGCACTTCCAGTGCCAGTATAAAACTAAGATCCATAAACCTGTCTATGTTACAAACTTAGTTGATGTTTTGCTAATTTGTTCACTTACTCTTTCTGATGGGTAAAATGCTATTAACCTGCTTTCTTCAGGATGTGATATATATAAGTGTCTGCAGACAGGCACAACTTGATCAAACTCTATTCCAATCTTTGTTTTTCTTTTAGCAAAGTAATTTGTGAGATTAATTCCTCACCAAAGTTTTCCCAGTAAATAAGATTTGGAGGAAATTGAAAAATAAGAAACACCAGTATCTCAACAACCTACCTTGATAACAGCTACATTTGCATTATCTTATGTTACTACTTTTAAAAGTACAGAGTCTATTAAATGCTTGAAAATTCTAAGAAAAGTTTAAGACAGATAGCTGTAATTAATTTCAATTTTAGCACAGTGAGAGCTCAATATCCCCATACCCAGTCCATTGCAGGCAGCCACCCCTCTGTTCCAGAAGTAGCCTTCACCCTGTTTACAGGAGCCAGGTTGGGAAAAGAACGATCTTATCCAAATGTCAAACATCTGGCTCTGATTGTCAGTTGCTGCTTCTAATCATAGCTCAGGAGGGGAAAGTGGCAACTCTTCTTGTTACAACTCCTTCCTACACTAGTGCTATCTGCCCTGCTGAGATGACTTCTGGGGAAGTTAAAGGTCCTTTTTTTCCCTATGGTTTTTGTGGGTTTAGAGCACTTTCTTTATGAATGTAATTGTGACATCAGCACTAGAAGCAAAAACAGAGCCATGAAGGACTAGAGCTTTGTGTATCATCAAAGTTACTTTGCTGTAAGTTCAGATTAGCCACACAACTTAGACGTGTTCCTATGATAACCACAAAAAGGTAGCTATAGAACTGAGGGATGCAAAAAGGCATTTAATCGTTTAGCCACCAAATAAAAATGATTAAAACACCAAAGGAAAAAATGCTGTAGGGAATGAGGGTTCCAGAAAAGGCAGTGTATATAAAACAAAGAATGATGTGGGAAGGGAAAGCATTCACTAATCACTCATTTCTTCAACTATAAATGGGTCAAACTTACCAGAAAAATACAGTTTTGAAGAAAAGATTTTTTTTTTGAATATATACTGGCTACAAGAGACTCCTCTAGATCAAAGACACAAATATTTTAATAATAAAAGGATCCAAAAGATACACCATGCAAACAGTAACTGAAGGAGAACAGAAGTAGTAGATATACTAAATGGAATAGACGAAATATACTTCAAAGCAAAATGGAGTACATTAAATAGAAATATTCTTATGGGAGGACATTACATAAAGGTTCAAAGTCCTGTTATAAAAATATGAATCTTCATCATATAAATGAGGTACAGCAAAGAAAGAAAGTGCAATATTTAATACCATGTACCTAATAACTACAACATACATCATGCAAAAGCTGCTAACATTGGAGAGACAAATAAGTTGGGAGTAGGGAGACATACACACCCCGCTCTTAGGAAGTAGTAAGAAAAGAAGGAAACCTGAGACATTGCGATAATAAGCCAACTAGATCCAACAGGCATACACAGAACACTCTGCCCAATAGCAAGCATGTAGATTTTCCTCAGGTGTATATGGGGCATTTTTCATGACAGATACATGTTAACATACAAATCAAGTGTTGGTAGGTTTTAAAAGATGGATATTGAGGGAACTGGGATCAGTACGTAAAATAAGAAAAAGAAAAAAGAAAAAAAAAAAGAATACCTTTGCTTTCCATGATGGAATAAATTTTAAAACCAGTACAGGAAACAACAACGAAATTTTCACAAATCTGTGGAAAGTAAACAATGTACTCATAAACAACTAGTTGAGGGGCATTAAATGAGTTCA